ATGGCTTTGTGGGGACGTCCCAATTTCCTTCACCTCCTTCCCAGAAGATAGGTAGAGCACAGGGTCGCCGTCTAGGGCAGGCCAGCTCTAGTCAGTCAGTCAGACTGCTGAGACAGGTGTTGGTGGGGGTGGGGAGTGGGACAGGGGCTGGGATAGGTGAGTGGTGTGCCCGCCTGGGGGGGGAGGGGGGGTGAGCAAGCCTGGTGCCCTGTGCTACTTGGCAGAGCTCATTGCAGTGGGCTTGCTTGACAAAGGCTGAGATCATCAAATGCAGCTTCTTGCCAGTAGAAAAGGCGCCAGGCTGGTGGTGGGGCAGGGCAGAGGGTGTCCAGATGGCAGTCACAAGAGGGCATTCCATGGGTGGGGGCCCAACTCCCCATCATCCCAGGCTGGCCTGAAGACAGCCAGCATGGTCTGACTGGCAGGGCAAGATCATTCTTCCACCAGAATCCACGAGCCACGATAACTCTGGGGTCAGGTCGAGGTTGATGGAAAAGGATTGGGAGAGCCGGCAGGTTGGGAATCGCAGGTGGGAGTCAGAAGACAGGCTCACAGGCATTGACCACCCCCTGCATCATGGGAAGGTGTGGTGAGACCATAGGACTGTCACTTAGGAGCTATAAAGTGCTGTGTCTGCATCTTAGTCTGCTCTGCTTCTGTAACAAAACACCATAGACTGGTAGCTTCTAAATGGCAGAACTTTACGTCTCATGTTCTGGGAGCTGGGAAACCCAGGATCAAGGCCCTGAGAGATTTGTTGTCTGGTGAAGGCCCATTTCCTGGTTCGTAGATGGCGACTTACTATATTCCCACGTGGTGGAAGGGGCAGCTACATTCCCTTGGGTCTGTTTATAAGGGTCTGCAGCATTAAGGGCCCCATCGCCCCCTAATGCCGTCACTGTGGAGGTTAGGGTTTCAACATGAATGAGGGAGCATTCAGAGCACAGCAGTCGGTGGCCACCTTCGTGGGCAACTGGTACATGCTAGACTCCCAGCCGCAGCTCTTAATCTTTGCAAGAATCCTAGAGATGGCATTCTTTATTTTTTATTTTATTTTGGGGAGGGGGGAATATGGAAATCTTTTTTATTTTATTTTAAAGATGTGAGGTACAATTCAGGACTAGGTATACAAGGGGTCATCATACAGGTAAAGTTTGGGTCTTCCTTTGGTTCCCACTTTGGCTGGTTTGAGATCAGGTATGCTTATTGATGTTATGTGCTTCCCCCGCTCCCTCCCCTGGCAGTTTCCGGCTACTGCCAATCCCTTTCTTATAGTATTATGGTAAATGTTCAGGGTTCACTTATGAGTGAGGCCATGTGATACTCAGTTCTTTGTTTCTGTGATAGATCACTGAGTATGATAGACTCTGAATCCATCCAAGTTGCTGTGAAGTTCGTTCTTTTGTTCTTATGGAATATTATGGCTGTGTAATATTCCATCATGTATATATAGGGATTCTTTTTATCATCCCCGTTTTGTCAGTAGAAACCGAGGCAGCAAAAGTTAATGTCTTGATTTCAAAGGATTCATCTAATAGCAAAACCAGGGTCTAGCCCTTTCCCCTTCCTTGGTGCCTGTCCATGCCAAGACAGTCCTTTCTGCACTGTCTCCCCACTAGGAATCCCTCCCTCCCTTCCTTCTCCCCCCCCTCCATGCTGAGTTCTACCTGAATATTTCCCAGACTCTACACAGATCTCAGAAATTAGCTAAGTACAGACTTGCATCAGGCGCTTAAGCAGTGGCGTCCAGAGAGTCTGTCTAGTTTCATGTTCAATTTTCCAGAGGAGTCAGTGAGTACCAAAGAGGGCAGGGGATCCACTGAAGGATGCATAGTGATTACTCATGGCCCCAGAGCCTCTGTGACTGCAGCCGCCCATCGGCTCTGCCTTCTTCCACTCAGGAGTCCTGAGAGTCACTCTGGCCGGCCCTAAGTGAGGCCGTCTGCCGAGGGTGGCCAGGAAAGTGGAGCCACCAATTTCTCCTGAAGATGCATTCTTTCTTAAGCAGGGAATCGATTTCCACCAAGATACACAAGCTTCCAATGAAGCCACTTACAGGAGTCTGGATGAAGCCCCATGAATCCACTGCCTGCTCGTTTATCTGCCTGGTTAGGGGCAGCCCTTTCACTGGAGGGAGGGGCAGAGGGGTTCGGCCACCAGGCTGGCCCCCGCAGGGGGTGAGCAGGCTGGGGTGGGGGTGAAGACCGCTGGCACACAGGGCAGCACATTCAGACCTGTGCTTGCTCAGTGACAAACTTGCCGTTTCCAGCCCTTGTCCAAAGCTTGATTTCCTCATCTGTAAATGATCTTGAATGTTCCTTCTCACTTTTTTTGATTTTTAGCTTAAAAAGATGTTTTTTCGAGTCAGGATTTAGCTGTGCCATCCAGGCTGGAGTACAGAGGTAAAGTCATGGCTCTCTGCAGTCTCAAACTCCGGGGCTCAAGCCATCCTCCTGCCTCAACCTCTGAGGAGCTGGGACTACAGGCATGTACCACCACACTTGACTAATTTTTAAAATTTTTTGTAGAGACGAAGTCTCGCTGTGTTGCCCAGGCTGGTCTCAAACTCTTGGCCTCAAGCAGTCCTCCCATCTTGGCCTCCTAAAGTGCTGGAATTACTGGCATGAGTTGCCACACCTCATCTCTTTCTGACTTTCAGAAGCAGGATGATAGATGAGGAGGGTACAGGGATTCGTGGGGAGAGAGGAGACTGGATTGGAATCCCAGCTTCACCTTTTTGGGACCCAAAGAAGAGTTATGTGTTGAACTGTGTTCTCCCAGAAAAGGTATATCGAAGTCCTAGCCCATAGTACCTCCGGTACTTATCTGGACACAGGGTCTTTGCAGAGATAATTGAGTTGAAGCAAGGTCATTGGGGTGGCTCTCTTCCGTTATGACTGGTGTACTTACCAAATGGGAAACTTGGGCATAGCGACAGACACACACAGAGGGAAGACAGTGAAGAAACGGAGAAGATGGCCATCTACAAGCCAAGGAGAGGGGCCTGGAATGGACCCTCCCTCACAGCCTCAGAAGGAACCAGCCCTGCTGACACCTTGAACTTGTGATCCTTTGTTATGGAAGCCCTAGCAAGCTGATAAAAAGGGGCACAGGAACAATAACACCTGCCCTGCAGGGCTGTTTGAAGCCCGGTGAGAGAATGCATGGAAGGCCCTTAGCGAGGCCCTTTGCATGTAGTGAGTGTTCAGTAATAGCGGTGGCTGTTAGTTTTGTGCTGTGACCTCCGCCCCAAGACTGGGCCTGCGAAGGTGCCAGACAGAACAAGAAGGCCTTCACTCAGAGCTTTCGGAGAGGACTGGGTCACCTGAGGCAAGCCTTCAAGAGCCTCTGAATGTGGACACGCCAGAGAAATTGCCAGTAATGCGATGCTTGATGGCTCCTAGCTAGATTGGTCCCAGGCCTGCGCGCCAGGGCCGCAGAGCTGAGGGTTCTGTGTTTTTCTGTGCTGGGCGCACTGAGTGTGTCATGCTGCTACAGGTATGTGCGGTCATCACAGCCGTTTGATGGACGTTGTGTCGAGGAGGTGGTCCGGTTGTCAGGGAAGGAGGCTCATGGGTGACCCTGAGCAAATCCTCCTCAGGCCTCTGTTTCCATCTCTGCAAAGTGAAGGGGATGGACTCCCTGGGTCAGGAGCTCCTGAGCGAGTCTGTAAAGTCCTGAGAGTTACATGGAAACTTTGTGCACACACTTGCGTTTGGGGGGAAAGTGTCTGCAGCTTTTATCTAGCTTTGAAGGACCTTGACTTCCACGTTGTCCATCATGGCCACCTGGACAGCCCTTCTGGGCTGCAGGGTCCTGGCAGGCCTGGAGTGCTGGGACTCTGGTTCTCCAGTGGCTTCTGAGACTCGAGTGCCTCACAGTGGCTGTGCTGAGCTGGGGGCAGGGATCGGGAACGCAGAAAGAGCTCCCAAGACCTTCTTGTGGGGAGGCTCCCACTGCCAGCACCTCCTCGCTGCTTTTGCTTTCAACCCTCCTCCTGTCCCACGGGTGGTGTCCCCCTACCTGCCGCCTGCCCCGTCCTGGCCTGACCTGTCTCTCTGCTTCTACGCCGGCCCCACTCCCATTGCACTTGGAGTAAAACCCAAATCCCTTACAATCCCCATCTGCCTCCACCTGTCTCCCAGGGTCATCTTTTCCCCTCCTCTTCCCCCCCTCACTCAGCTGCAACCTTGCTGACCTCAGCACCTCACCCCGGGTGCAGTCCCTGCTGGGGTCCCTTGGCCTGGACCCTTCCCGCCTCCTCAACCACCTGGCTTCTCCTCCCTCACGTCCCAACTCAGACGGTACCTCCTCCAGGAAGCCCGTCCTGACCCCCTTGAAGATGGATTTTGCTCCCTGCTCTCCAGCAGTGCCTTGGTTCGTTTCCCCTTCATGGCATGAACTCGTGTGGAATGAAATATAGATGTGTTTTCTCCCCTGCCAAGATGTTGACCCATGGAGGGAGAAAGGACCCGAATCATATGTGTCAGCATCTGGCTCACAGGAGCATCAAATAAATGGTGAACACACCCGTAAGAATGGCTAAAGAGAAAGGGACCAACAGTGCCAAGCGCTAGGGGGAAGGATGGAGCTCTCGTGTCACTGATAGGAGTGCACAGAGTGGGTGCCCTCGCCTTGGGAAGGACGGCCAGTCATCTTCCTGGAGTTACGCACACTTCTCGCCCATCCAGCCACTCACTCCTAGGCCTTCACCCAAGAGAAGTTAAGATATACATGCAAGGCCTGGCACGGTAGCTCACACCTATAATCCCAGCACTTTGGGAGGCCGAGGTGAGAGGATTGCCTGAGCCCACAGGTTCGAGACCAGCCTGGATAAATTAGTGAGACCTCATCTCTACAATAAATCAAAAAATTAGTCAGGCGTGGTGGCGCATGCCTGTAGTTCCAGCTACTTGGAAGGCTGAGGCGGAAGGATCACCTGAGCCCAGCAGGTCGAGGCTGCGACAGCCGTGAGCATGCCACTGCACTCCAGCCTGGGTGACAGAGTGAGACTCCAACTCAAAAAATAAAATAAAAAACAAATAAATAACAAGACATATGTGTAAAGGCCTGTACACAGATATCGCAGGCTTACTCGATAATGGCCCCAAACGAGAAAAAAGCCAGTTGTCCATCTAGAACAGGTGAACCCTGCCGCGCCCCAAGGAGCAGGAGGCTCCCAAGAGGCAGTGAGAGAATCCAGTTCCTCGCGTAGGGGCACTGTGGAGCACAGGTGATTCCTGTTTGGGGAGGGGCGACCCAGGGGACCCAGAGGTTGAAGCAGCACCTGCATTCCTCTCATCTTCAGACTCCCACTCGGGTCAGAAGCGTTCAGCTCTTCTCTGAACGTCACAGTTTGTAGTCACATGTTGAGCTTGCCTGATTACTTGTCTAGTGTCGTCCTGCCCCGCACAGTGCCAGGCTCAGCAACTCGGTGTTCCGTAGGGAGGTTTTGAGCACACGGGGGCTGGAGAAGGAATAGGCAGCGGGGGGCCGGGTCCCTGGGGACAGCTTGCTGGGTGCCATGCTGCCTGCCTGGCCAGGGACCCACCGTCTGAGAGGACCCCGCCCTGGTGGTGCCCATGAGGCTGGATTCTTGCAAAACGCCAATTAAGACATTTGACCCAAATTGGGATAAAAGCCTTCTTTCCTGTGGCAAGTTGAGCTAATAATACACATCTATTCATAATTTATGAGGCCTCGTAAGTGGGAACAATTAAGGAAAGGCCTGGGCAAAGCCTGTTTTTCTTAAGCTTCGCATATGCCTCTTTTTGTTTTTCGAGACGGCCCCTCCCCTACCTGCCATGAGACTGTATCATTTTTGTTACTGTTATTATCATTAGTTGTTATATTATTGGATGCTGGTGTTTACTGACCGTGTCCTGGGTCAGGCTGTACCACTGCCTCTTCATGGCAACTGTGTGTGAGGCAGACACTGTCCCCGACTCACAGGTGAAGGAACTTGCCTGGTGCCTGAAGCTGGGGAGGGGTCAGACCCAGTTCCACAGGCCTAGGACCCACATCTGGGGAGGGGACCGGCCAGCCCGGTTCTGTCAGGCCCAGGGTCCGCAGCTGGGGGAGGGGTCCAACCCAGTTCTGCCAGGCACAGGCGGGCCATCTTGCCACTGTGGAGTCCTGTTTCTGTTGGCCTCCTGACCCGGCTGCCCCTGAGTCCACCGGGCAGCCCTTCTGCTGAGGACGCTGTCCAGCTCAGGAGGCCAGACTGGGAACATGATCGCGCCCTTCTCTGCAGGTCTGGGGCAAGGCCTGAGAACTTGCATCCCTTCCGGCATCCCAAGTTCCCCGGTGCTGCAGTCCTGGGACCACGCTTTGAGAACCATTGATGCCGAACAGTGCCGCCCAGAGACTGCTGCGTCTTCCTCCTGCCCCACCCCTTGCTGGCGGCAGGTTCATGGCCTTTCAGACCTTTTCTGGGATGTTAGCATCCACCATATCCTATATGGAGAAATGCATGGTTTGATTTTGTCTCCTCCTCCTTGCATGCGTGGGGTCACGTGCTACCTGTGAATGCCCAGGTCTCACTTTTATTTGCCGTGTATGGAGGACGCACAGGTGTGCCTCTCTGTTCTCAGCAGCGCTGGAGTATTTCATGGTATGGAGGCTTTGTGGTTTTATTTACCTGGTGGTCTTCCAAGCTGTAGATGTTACAGATATTCCCGTAAAATCCCTGGGAGCACGATCAGAGCCTAGCAATCACGCAATAATATTAGTCATTGTTTTTGCTGTTTTTGTTTCATTATTAATATAGAGGGATCATTCGCTTCAAGAAATCCCCTTTGAAAGGTGGGGCAGTTATGTAAAGAAGCAGCTCTATTTATAGGCTCCAATAAAGCTTTCAACAAAACAGTTCTCGTAAGAGGAAAGAGGTGCGTGTGGGCAGGGCCTTGAGGGATGCGTAGGAGTGCAGAGGAGAGAGCAGCAGGGGTCTGTACTGCTGGGGCCTGGCTTCATGGCCTGTGAATTCGACCATTGCGAGGGGTGGGGCAGGCCTTTCCATTTTTTGTCACTTGGTCCAGATGGGCAGCATCTTGAGTAAGAGGATCCCTCCTTGGGTTCAACCGCCCAACTCTGATCCACCTCCCTCTTGTCTCCTCAGGGCGGGGGACCTGGGGAAGAGCAACTCTGCGCCGACTTTCCAGAGCTCGACCTCTCCCAGCTGGACACCAGCGACTTCGACTCGGCCGCCTGCTTTGGGGAGCTGCAGTGGTGCCCGGAGAACCCCGAGTCCGAGCCCAGCCAGTACGGCTCCGAGGACCCTGAGCTCTTCCAGGTATGTCCTCTCCAGTTCCCGCCTCCTGCCCACCTTCCGCGCCTGCTCCTGTAGAGAAGCCCCCCGCCCCACCAAAGCCCCAGGGCCCTGTCTCTTGTGCGAATGAATCACCCCTCCCTGGCCTGCACGACTGCCTGGAAAGTGGGGCTGGGGTGAGCTGCTCTCTGGACTTCCTGAGCAGAACCCAACTTTTCACAGGCCAAAGGGGCTCCAAGCCCACCCTCGTTCCCTGTGTATCTCACGGACCCTCTCCCCGCCCTCTGAGGCAGGTGCCATGATTTCCCCATTTTACAGAGGAGACGAAGGCCTGGAGAGGTTCAGTCATGTGCCCAGGGCAATACCTGGCATCCCTGCCTCCTGGCCAGGACTTTATAATTTCGCCACCGCTGTCACGAGAGTGACTGGCTTTATTGAGCAACTGCTCATGTCTGGATTGTCCCTGTTTGTGTCTGTAAGCTTCTTTTTGTCTCTTAGCAACTCACAGTCATAAAATACAGGTACCTCCACTTCCTCCGTTGGTGCTTCAAGGGTCTTCAACAAGAGGTGGTGCCCAGGGCACTGCTCAGGCCTCACCCAGCCATGTCTTGGCAATGTTTCCTTAAGAAGTTCTCTCTTGTGGAGTCATATAATGACGGGATTTGCTTTGGAGTAAAGCAAGCTCAGTGTGGGTGTGGGTGTGTGTGTGTGGGCAGGGGTGTATGGCCTGGAGGGTGACTTAGCTGGTTCTTTCTTGGAATTTTCTCCCTCATGAAGATTGGAGGCAGAAGCCACAGCTCCCTGTGCCTTTCTGGCAGTACAGGAATGGCACAGTGTGTGCCAGTGCTGTGGGGGTGTGACGCAGCGTCCCTTCAGAGGTCTCCTATGAAGTGTGTTGTTCCTTCTAGACATGTTCATCGAGCCCCCGGTGTCAGGCCCTGTGTCCATCAGCGGGCTCCGTGGTCCACTGGGGGAGATGCACCCTGGCTCAGTAAACACATGGACAGATATATAAACACTGACACTTGTGACCGGGCAGAGAAGGACGTAAACCTGGGACTGGAGAAGGGTCACACGAGAGTAGGGACGGCTCTCTAGGCCCTGGAGGCAGAAGTGCAGGGCCACGGAGCAGGGAAGGGGAGTGGTGTTAGGGGCGTGGATGGCCAGAGGGTCATGGCTAGGGGAAAGTGGTCGGAGGTCAGGCCGGAGAGGATGGCAAGGCCAGCTCACTCGGTCTTATGGGCTGTGCTGAGGAGTCTGTATTCTTCAGAAACGGTTCTAACCTGTAAGTTGCAAACTACTAATAATCCATGTTCCAGTGAGAAAAGTGAAGTTCAGAGAGGTTGAGTAAGCTTCTTTTTGTCTCTTAGCAACTCACAGTCGTAAAATACTGGGCATAACAGGCACTTAGTATTTCTAGAGTGAGCAGGTGTGTGGTCGTTCTGCCATAATTTCCGGTGTGGCCTTGGGCGAGTAGCTTCCTTTGGTCGGGCCTCAGTTTCCCCGTGTGAGGAATGAGAAAGGAACATGGACTGGTTTCCGGGACCTCAGTGAAGGTCACAGCTAGGAAGGATCTAGGACTAACATTGATTCCCTTTGCCAACCCTGTGAGGGCCTGTGGGACTGGGTCCCGGCTCTGTTCCAAGACCCCTCTTTCTTATGTGAACAGTGGGGCGATATCTTTGCCGTAGTGCCCCTTTTCTCTGGGGGTCCTCCAGAAAGTGCCTTCGGGGCACAGACAGCTGCTATGTAAAAGGGGTCTGGGTGCTGCCTGGAGACCACCCTCCTAAACTGCACGCCCTGCCCCCCAGAGGCTGGTCAGATCCACCAGCCGTGGTTTCCCGCACAAGTGAGCTTGGGGCAGCTCGCAGGCTCCCAACCAGCACAGAGTTCAGCCCCATGACTGGCAGAGCTGCCAGTCCTCTCCTTTGTAGACTGCACACCTGCCAGCTGTTTTGAGGCTTCCCTAGACACCCTCTGCCTGTGGTCAGGGCCTGTCCCCACACTGTCCACCATCGCACGCTCTGAGTGTAAGTTGTATTTACCCTGTGTGCAGTTATGTATCCCTGGAGCTTTGCTTGAGCCCATCAGAGAGTCAGGGCTGGATGGTCATAACCCTTCTCTACCCGGTTCACATGTTGCCGCTCTAGAGCTGGTGGTCAGTCATGCCTCCCACTGCACACGTGCTTGCATGTGTGTGCTCGTGTGGAGTGTGCATGTTGTGTACGTGTGTGTGTGTGCAATGCATGCACTCATGAGGTGTGTGCTCATGTGTGTCCATGTGTGTATGCTCGTGAGGCGTGTGCGCAGGTATATGCATGTGTGGTGGTATGTGCACACACATGCTCTTCATTCGCCTCTGGGACCCTTGTGCACGGTAAGGACTCAACCCACGTGTGTTGAATGGAGGAGCTGATTGTGACATCATCTTTCCTGACAAGGGCCAGACATGACCCTTTCCAGAAAGCTCAAGCATGGAATCTGGCCACAGGTTCTCACCCTCCTAGCACCAGCTGCAACGCCTTCCTCATGGGGCCCTGGGAGTCCCAGAGCCTCGCTGCCTGTGCCCGAGCTCTGCTTCAACATTCGGATGGCACCGTTGCTGTGGGAACGCTGGGAGGGTGGAGACCCAGCTAGTTACAAGGGTTGACGGGGACGGGGATGGGGACATCACCTTCCATGTCTCTGTGTGTCCCAGAGTGCTCAGGGCTGGGCATAACGGGCACTTGGTAAGTATTTCTAGAGTGAGCAGGTGTGTGGTCGTTCTGCCATAATTTGCGATGTGGCCTTGGGCAAGTGGCTTCCTTTGATCAGGCCTCAGATTCCCCGTGTGAGGAATGAGAAAGGAACAGGGACTAGATCTGTGGTCCTTAACCTGCTGGAGCTGGAGCTGGAGGAGAAGTCATGGGGTCCTTTCAGACTGGGATGGGGTGGTGGACCTGCTCCTGAAAAATGGGGGATGGGGAGCAATTTCCTGGTTTCCGGGACCTCAGTGAAGCCCCCCAAATGGTGGAGGGTTTCTGTGCGTTCTTCCAGCCCGAGAGCCTGTGTCTGCTCTGTGACCTTCCCTCAGGCCACTCCTCACGGGAAGCATTTTCTCTGATTCCTGAAGGCGCCTTTCCTCAGCTTGAGATCAGCTGGGAAGGCTGGGGGCGGGCCCGTCTATTAATATCCCTTCCTCGGCTGATTAGCTCTCCATTAATTTGCACTCTGTTTCTGAGCCAAGCAGGAGAGCCGCCTGATGGCCCAGGGAGAGGAGAGGGCAGCACAGCTCCCAGGATGGACTGTCCAAAGGTGCAGTGGCTGGCGTGAGCGGGGCTGGCCAGTCCTCCCCGTGGGGTCAGGGCTTCTGGCCCGCCCTGCAGTTCAGAACTGAGCAGCCCTTAGCAGGGTGGTGGAGGCTTTTGTTTTGACCCAACCTAACAGGTGCTGCTCCTGTGTTGGGATCTCCACCATTGGGGCCTCAAGTCAGCTCAGCCTAGCACTCAGAAATCTGTGGGCTCTGAGTCCTAGTTTCCACCCTTGCCTTGCCGTGTGACCTTGGAAAGTCCCTTTCCTGGGGCTTTCTTCCCTATCTCAAAACCAGAATGGGCCGGATGTGGTAGTGTGTGCCTGTAGTTCAGGCTACTTGGAAGGCTGAGGCGGAATGATAGCTGGAGCCCAGTAAGCCAACATTGGGGTGGCCGTGAGCGCGCCACTGCACTCCAACCTTGGCAACAGAGTGAGACTCCAACTCAAAAAAAAAAAAACCAGAATGGCAAATCAGCTTCCTTGGGAACCCAGCTGTGGCTGGTTGGTGGCTGTCGCCTGGACCCTAGTGACAGGGGAAGTGCTGGTGTGGAAGGAATTGGCGCTACAGCAATCCTCAGGACAGGGAGTGGTAGCATGCATGCCACACTGACATCCCTGGTCACCAGGGGTTCCTGGGAGCCCTTCTGGCTCCGATACTTGTGATAATTCACAATGCTCTGGGCTGTCCGCTCATCTCCCTGGGAGAGAGAGAGTGTCTCTGGCTCATGCAGTCCTGATGACATGCTGATGACTTCCCTCTAGAATCTAGTCTTTGAGACACCAACCTCGGTCTCCTGCCATTGTCCATTTCTTGGTTCATTTAAAAAGAATTTTTTTTAATAGAGATGGGGTCTTGCTATGTTGCCCAGATTGGTCCCAAACTACTGGGCTCAAGCAATTATCCCATCTCAGCCTCCCAAAGTTCTAGGATTCCAAGCATGAGCCACTGTGCCCAGCCTTTCATTTTTACTCATTGCATCTGCCGCTGCCTCCCTTGCCACAGGCTCTGAGCCCTCTACAGAGCTCTGGTCACCACCTCCAGACTGGCCTTCTGGGAGTCCTGGGAGGGAGGCTGGCCAGGGAGCCTGTCTTCCCATGTCACAGGGGAGGAGTAAGCCCCGAGGAGGGTAGCAAGTTGTCCAAGTCTGTTCGACAACCGAGCCCCACGTGGTTGACCCCAGGCGCAATCATTGAGCCACAAGTTCTAGGATCTTAACTCCCCGTCAAGCTAGATGTATTGTTCTGGGAACAGGATTGGGAGTCACCTGAGGGTCAAAGGGAGACTCGAAGGTGGGCGTGAGGGGACAGCTGGGTGAGCCCCACTGCACTGTCCCGTGGCCCTGGGTCAGGCCCAACTAAAATCTGCTTTTGACCTTTCTTTATTCTTAGCTCTGTTCGAAAAATGACAAGGGACTTGTTCTCTGCCCGCCGTGCTGCCCTTCCAGTTACTCAGCTGCAGCTCCCGCTGCGGGCCTGGAGCAGCTTGAGTGCAGCCAAAGGCCGTCACGAGTTGAGGGTCTGGGATGAACTTCCTGGAGGAGGATGAGCAGCCTGACCTGGGATGGGGAGTGCGGGGAGGTGTCGCGTGACAGACGTGCCTTCTGCCAAGACAGCAGGGGCCTGGAAGCAGCGTGCTCTCGCAGGGGCCCTGGGCATGCACGGGCCCTCCTTTTAGACGTCAGGCCTCAGGAAAGGCAGAGAGCCGTGATTCCCCAGGCCTGGGCACTCTTTCCAAGTCCTGGCACTGGACTTCTCTTGCTGATTGCCAAAAGACAAGTTTCTGAACTTCCGCAGGTCTCTGTTCGTTAACTGCATGTGGAGGTTAGAGTCGTGGTCCCCACAGAGAGGGGCAGTCCTGGGGCTCTTGGGGCAGAATTGTCAACGTCTTTCTGCTCCTCTCTGCTCCGCTCCGTGACCCTGGCCTTTGATTGGGTTTTCCTCTTCCCAGACCTCCCCTTAGCCCTTTGCCTGGCTGATGTCCCTCAGGCCTCACTCCACCATGGCTGCTTTCTCTTCCCTTCCCAGCCTCCCTCACTCTCTGAGGTGATCTTGTTCGTTTGCCTGCCAACCCTGTTCTCCACTGGTGGGTTAGCTCCAAGGGACAGGGGAATTTGGAGGGTCGCTGGGGCCCAGCTCAGAGCCGGGCACACGTAACCATGCAGTCGGGGAAAGAGGAGAGGAAGAAGGAGGAGGAGTTGCCGCCATCACCCGCTGTCACCATCATCATCATTATAGGAATCATGGCAGTGCAGTGGCAGTGGTCTTAGTGGCAGCTGTTGTAGTGGCAGTAGTACCAGCCTGGCTGGTAGCGAGTGTTTATGGTGGTGGTGGCCGTAGTGTTGCCCCTAATGGCGGTGGTCATAGCGTTGGCCATAGTGGTGGTGGTCGTCGTGTTGGCTTTGGTGGCGGCGGTCGTCGTGTTGGCCGTGGTGGCAGTGGTCGTAGTCGCAGTGGCCCTAGTGGCAGCCGCCATAGCCATTGTGGTAGCTAGTGGGTTTTTTTTTTGTTTTTTTTGGGGGGGGGTTGGAGTCTCACTCTGTCGCCCTGACTGGAGTGCAGTGGCCACTCCCGGCCACCACAGCCTCGACCTGCTGGGCTCCAGTGATCCTTCTGCCTCAGC